GATTGTGCGCAATGCGTGAGGAGCAAGCTGAGTTTCGCGCCGATCTTCGATGCATCGATATATATATATATATATATATATATATATAATACATTTATCACAATAGGCAGTGTATAAATGATTGGACGGAATGTCCCTGTTGCGTATCGAAGACACGAATTCAGGATCCTAGTATTATATGCCACCTGAGTGTGCCGGATCTATCCTCGAGGTTTTTCTTTTTTCCATCAGGAGACGATAAAGCCCGTTCACTGGGTCAGGGTGATGTAGGGATTGTATTAAACGATAATACTGAAACCTCACTGATAGATTGGATACCCGTCAGTAGTCGTTTGTTCACAATGAGGCTCCAGGGTTCAGTTAGTGTTCCCAAGAGCAGTAACACCAAAAGGTACTTGTTCATTATTTCCAACAGTGGGATTAAATTAAAAGTGTCAGATCCGAACAACGTCTGGAGTGCATCGAAAAATCGATGCGCCATGTGATATTTTTTTACATAAGTCGTAATTTTGAAAACAAAGCGATGTCGGTACAGGTGAAAATAAGCCGGCGTTTCGGTTACCGTGAGCAACTTTTATCAAGGGGATTTTACAATCGAATTCGATTGTGAAATCGCCAAAACTTTTGACGTAGTTCATTTGCGACCTGTTCCTTTTTGGTTAGCTGTCGGACCAGGTAGGGTACAGGGGATTTTTTATAAATGTTAATCCGAGAGGGTAGATGCCCAAATGAGGAGCGTGTGGACGGATGGGAACGACAAGACGATAGACCGGGGTGTTGTGGATGAAGAGGATCATCTAGAATCTTATGAGCAAACTTAATACATGTGTTGATGTAACCGTCAGTGAGTTCGGTGATTATTGAATCGATCGGAATTAATGATGCACGACTGATGACCAAGCCACGACGATTTGTATTGAAGTCTTGTTTCAAAGACTGGGCAACACTACAGGGGAGCAGCAGAGTAGAGTGGGTAAAACGCATTGATGAACGGAAGATGACAATAACTATTGGAATTGAGGTAGCTTCTCTATCATGGAATAGTCAAAGACTGTTTCACCTGATATGCTAGTACGGTCATTCCGGCAATTGCAGTGGAAACTCCATGGGTGCTAAGCCCCCGTTAGAATTGGAAGTTGGAGGTTGTATTCAGTCATTGAAGAACGAGAAAACTGTGGGACCTAATGGGCTTCTCTCTGTTATTTTCAAGGTAGGCGGTGATTCTCTCGTCGGCTGGATTACTTTAATTTCAGTTTTTACACCCATTAACCATGCACTTTTGTGCGCCGATCTTGATTGCTGTCTTTTGGTGGCCTATTAGGATGAAAGGGGAGAATGAAGATAGGAATATTGAGAGTAAATTCGAGGGGAAGATGGCGAATTTATATAGAGTGAAATTGCAAAAATAACGAGTGGATGCATGACCGCCACTATTTGCGACACCCAACCATATCGCTCAGTGTCGTTGACCATGATCTCGGGGTCCCGATTCAGTGAGACTAACGGGACCTATGTGACCGAGTCCCTCGGTTAGAGTTTTCATACCCTTATGCCATGTCTCGGTTTGATCGCCCTTGACTTTTTCATCCAATGCCTGCCTCGGCAAACACCGCGCGTCGTGGCAATCTATTTGGTGATATATGCAACAAATGCCCTCAACCAGCGTAATCTGTGGGGGTCGACCTCGTGCCTGTGCAGCGCACCCATTCTACTGTACATTGTTCGCGCCATCCGGCTGTCTCTGCAGGGCCCGGTATATGCTACAGCAGTTCGGCCAGTACTACTCTGCAGTGCAGAGACTTGGCCACTACGGGAATAGGATAAAAATAGATTGTCGGTGTTCAAACACCGCTATCTACGCCGCATTACACAAGTCTGCTGGGTAAACCGGACGAACAATGCTGAGGTTAGGCGTTGAGTTTTAGGCAGTTGCGGTCGTCCACTGGAGCAAGTGATCGACCTCCATCGATTACGTAGATTGTAGCATGTGTTACGCATGTCACCAGATAGGTTACCACGGCGAGCAATGTTCGCCGAGGCAGGTAATGGGTGGAATAGAGCCCAGGGTAGTCAAGCTAAGACCTGGCCTGAGGGTATGAAAACTCTAACCAGGACACTGGGTCACATGGGTTCCGTTAGGCTCCCTGGATGAGGACCTCGGGATGGTACCCGATGGTTAGAGACACTGAGTTGTATGCTTGGGTGTCGTAAACAGTGGCATTCGTGCATCTTCTCAATTTCCCTGCATCATTAGTCCACTGAACTTCTCAGTTTTCTCTTAGTTCCTTTTTTCAACCATCTTGTTTTCCTCCTATTCTTCACCCGAATGAGCAGTCAAAAGACAGCAACCAAAAGCGTCACACTGAAAGGCATGCTCAATGGTTGTATAAACTGAAAGTGAAACTGCGCATCACATTGGAGTTTGTAGTGTAAGTAGAACTAATGTTCTTTTCAATAAAAAATTGATTAGTTGTGCAAGAAATTGTTCCGTAACTTTATTTTCAGCCCTCCAAAAATTGGTAGAAATGATTCAAAAGGGGGTGGTCAAGATGGCAACAAACCAAATAAGCCCGGTCGGGGAGGTGGACAGCGTGGTCCCATTCGAGACGGGCAAGCACGATTTGTACAGAGTTACTCGATTTTCGAGACCGGGATTGGATGTGCTGTGAAGACGGAAAAACACGCGGTTGAATTATGTGAGTACTGCTACACCTTTGGACGAAGATAGTATTGTTTTTTACAAATTGTTTTGGTGTCTTCATTGTACCGGACCGTTGTCTAGCAGCGTAATACCATGTAAGTTTCAACGAACTCGGAATCCACGCGAATGAGACATAAACGTAACCCCTACACAACGACCCATGGTCAGTGAGAGAAAAGGAAGAAAAAATTATCTATTATGAAAGGCATGTTCAATACCCAATTTGAGTCAGTTGAGTTTGTCAAGAGGAGCTCCGTGTTGGGATATGTTCGGCTTCGAAAGAGTGAGAGAGGGCACAACAAATGCTATCATTATTTTAACTACTAGGGTGTATATGGGAAGGGGAGACGGTAAGCAAACAATGATTTCCCCATGAATAGTGACAAACAGTGGGGATTTAAACAAGAGTTACTAATGAAAAGAAAGAATAGTGATTAATTCTATACAATTTAGATACGGAAGCAAGTTAGTCGCGACCATGCAAGTTCATTCAAATTCTGACGCTCTCCTCTGCACTTTCAGGCGAAGCACAACCGTCCGGGGCTAAACGAAATGACATCGCCGAGATTCACGAGACCGAAGAGAAACACGACCCGATGGAACACAGTGATGCTTTTATCACCGATATTAAACAACAGTTCAAAGATGCGCCAACAATAATGCAAGATTCAGCTGCTGGAGTGCAACAAACAGTGGGTAGGTTGAACAATATGTTGCAGTTGCCGGTTCGCTTGTTGCACCCATTATAGTTCACTGCGATGTACTGTTCGAGTGCCTTGAAAACCATAGTCTCATGGCGTTCTGTTTTGGACAGTCTCTAAATATAAAAATTGAAAGAAACTTATGGGACTTATTTAACTTATTCAAACATACCGCTCTTCGTGTTGCACATTGTCGTCTTTCAAGCAAGATAAGTGTTGGGCAAATACTGAAAAAAATTGAGGAATCGTAGGGGTATTCTGCATGTTATGTCAAATCGTCGAAGTAACATGCTCAAAAGGTCATGTATGGATGAGTCCTATTGCTGGTTCCGGTTCTCTAGTTATACACCACACAGTGGAGTGTTACAACGAAATGAACGCAAGTGCACTAACTATAAGTAGGATGATATTGAATGAAAAAATAAATCCTTCAAGATTGACGTTTTTGCATTGTTTGAGTGTTTGATTTAGAGTTAGAATCTTCGAAACTTCATTTGTTCCCACTTTTTTGTACCTTGATCAATTTCATCGTTTTGTGTGTAGTACCGTCTGTATAAAGATGACCAAGAAGGGAAGAACGTTGGAGTTCGACTCCGCGGGAGTTTAGTACGGGGACTTGCTAAAACAGAACGTCCGAGCGATCGGCCGATGTATTCAAACACAACAGGCACCGAGCGTGCACGCCACTTGAGAGCCCAGGCTAATATAATTGGACACGCACTGTGCCGCTCAGTCAAGCATCAGCCAACCGAACAGTGAGTCAATCAAGACCACAACCTTATTGGCCTATGGATTAGTTTGCTCTCGATTAGCAGCTAGATCCCTTAGGAACGCTTATTTTTAACTCGATTCGTTTTATCTTCTCTGCTTTCATCTGGGCGGGGGTTAAGAAAACGGCGTTAGTAGTGAAAGACAAGAAAGGCACGTCCAGAACACATTTGGCCAATTTGGCATTTACCACAGCACAACTCATAGGACTTACGTTTCAAGTGACCATAATTAAACTAAAGGTCTTGCAAATTTTGGCTTGTCCTTTCTGTTTTGTATCATACTCAAATGTTTTACAGAGTAATCACAACTTTTGTGGGTTACTTACTTTTTTCAAGCAGCCCTTTTTATTATTTTCATGATTTTATATTTCTGATCCTATGCGTGTCTCCTATTTGTAGATCCGTTACGCGATCTGGATTTGTCGGAAGGTCGTAATCACCGTGTTCCCTATGAGTTCTTTCGAGATTCAGAAATGGGTCGCTTGTTTACAATTCAACTCCCTGATCAATTGCTACCCTCAGTACGTCTGACTGGATAACCTAGACATTGTGTTGTTTCTTGTTGTCGTTGTCCATTGAACTGGAGCGTATTCAAAGCCCGAATTCACCTGTTTGGAGGGAACACCGCTGCTGTTGTTTTGTCGACGTATCCCTCCATTGTGTCCGACCAATCAGTTCTAGGGTCTTTTGGATCCAAAACTCTGTAATCTGGCAAACCCGTAGTGCGCCTGCTTGTTATGTGAATTTTCACATTCCGCGTCTGCACGTCATTTGCTGATTTCCATGTGGTTTCCTCAAGCATGGAGCAGACACTGCGACTAAAGCACGGTGCGACAGACGACAATTAAGAATGGGTAACACCGGTCCTAACCACTAAAGATGTTACCTCGGCTGGTGATGAAGAGTTTGCGAACAAAATGTCAACTTCAGCAAGCAGGTGAAAATGAATTCAGCCCACCCGGGCTACGCGAACCGATGTTCAGTGCATTATCATTACCTTGATTGTCAATGTGTTGTCCATCGTTCGGTATTGATCCTTTGCGTATATATAT